TGTCCTTTGTGCTACACTAAGACATACTCTTATATTTAACTTGCGTCTCCAATATGGTATTTTTAAAACAACCTCCATGCTGCTGGCAAGTTATTAATCATCTTTTCTGCCCTTTTTAATGTCTTTCTGGCTCTCACCCATATTTTTTTGCAGTTCTCTCTCTCTTTTTTTTTTTTTTTTTGAAGGTTCATGGTAAGTTTTTGTTTTTTTCCTTCTTACAAGGATGTTAAACTTGATTACATTGTAGTCATTCTTGCAGAGCACCTCTGAAAACATTACTCCTTTCCCCCACACTGCCTAGGCCCTAGGACCAAGTCTAGATTGGCCTCTGCTACTGTGAGTCCCAGGACTAATTGTTCCAAGCAGAAGTCCTTTATGATGCCTTGAAAACGAGCCTCTACATCTTTTGGCCTTTAGGGCCAAGTACAGAAATTCAAAAAGCCCAAGCCTAAATTGATTCAGCCTTTGCAGGCTAGTTTAACCTGCAAAGCTTGAACTGATTTGGAGGTGGATAGACATTCCCTTTTCATTCCAGAAATGCAGGCATATCCCTGTAGTAGCTTAGGCTAGAAGCTGAGGTGGGTGCCAGAGCAGCACTCCCTTCCATTCCACAGTGCTGAGCTAAGTGGGGCATGGCCAGGCCTTGGTAGGACCCCCACCCTGGCCTGTAACATCTCAGGCTTCTCCCTGCTCTCAGGCTTCTCCCTGATCAAGGAGTGGGAGTGTTGCCAGACCCCGGCCCCCGGTTAGCACTCTGTGGCAAAGTGGAGGTGTGCAGTGCATGCATTTGTTGATGATACTGAGCTTTTCAATCTCCCTCTCTGGGTCTGCAAACCAGCAGGAGGGGTTGATAAAACCACTGTGTTATCAGCCCATCAGCAAAACAAAAGCCTATCATTAGTTCAAACTCTTCTTAAACAGCTTTTTCCAAGGAAGGAACAGAGGGACATTACCAGCTACCTGCTGATTAGCTCCAAAAAGCCTTAAGTGGACACTGTTCTGTTCGCCTGTTCTAGTGAAATTGGAGACACAGGCACCTCTCAGCATTAGCTAGCATACCATATGCCTAGGGTCCGTGGGAATGGGGTCTGTGCTATGGGAGATGGGTGGGAGGGAGAGAGGGATTGCTGCTTGAGCAGCGAGGGAAGCCAGGCAGACCCTGTTGTGCCTTCAGTCTCCCCCGGAGCTCTGGCTAGGAAGGAGAGGGGTGGGGCCAGTCTGTTCTTTGGAGTAGAGAGCACAGCCTAGCCCAGCCCAGCTGCAAAGCACCTGGGATGCTGGGGAACTCTGTTTTAACTTAACCCAGGAAGGGGTCTAGGACAGACATTGCATAAACCAGTTTGACCTAAATCAGTTAAGTCTGATATTACATTCAACCAGGTTTATTTTAAACCAGTTTTAGTCATTTTGAAATGAGTTTACGTGCACTGAACTTCTATTCTGTTACAGGTTTAAACCAGTTTCCGATCACTTAAACCGGTTTATGTGTAATGTCTGTCCCTAGGCCAGGACATCATCTACTCCCACCCCCTGCTCAAAGCAGGACCACCCCCAACTAGATCATCCCAGCTAAGGCTCTATCTAGCCTGATCTTAAAAAAACTCCAGGGGTAGAGATTCCAGAACTTCTCTGGGAAACCTGTTCCAGTGTTTCACTATCCTCCTAGTGACAAAGTTCTTCCTAATATCTAACCTAAACTTCCCTTGCTGTGACTTGAAATCAGTGCTCCTTGTTCTGTCATCTGCCACCACTGAGAACGGTTTAGCTCCATCCTCTTTCAACCCACCTTTCAAAAAGACTGCTATTAAATCCCTTCTCAGTCTTCTCCAGATTAAATAATTCCAGTTCCCTCAGCCTCTTCTCATAAATTACATGCCCCAGCCCCCTAACCATTTTTGTTGCCCTCCACTGATTGCCCCCAATTTGTCTACATCCTTTCAGTAATGGGGGCCCCAAAATTGGACACAGTACTCCAGCTGTGGCCTCACCAGTGCCAAACGGAGTGGAAGAATGACTTCCCTTGATCTTCTGGCAATGCTCCTACTAATGCAGGCCAATATGCCGTTAGCCTTCTTTGCAACAAGGGCACACAGTTGGCTCATATTCAGCTTACTGTCCACTGTAACCCCCAGCTTCTTTTCTGCAGAGCTTCTGGTTAGCTAGTCAGTCCCCAGCCTATACCAGTGCGTGGGATTGTTCGATCCTATATGCAGGACTTTACATTTATCATTGTTGAACCTCATGAGATTTCTTTTGGTCGAATCCTCCAATTTGTCACTGTTTCTTTGAATCCTACCCCTACTTTCCAACATATACTACTCTGCCCAGCTTGGTGCCATCTGCAAACTGGCGGAGGGTACACTCTATCCCATCTTCCGGGTCATGATGAACATATTGAACAAAACTGGCCCCAGAACCAACCCCTGGGGCACTCTACTTGATACCGGCTGCCAACTAGACATCAACCCATTAACTACTATCCCTCTGAGTCCAATGATTCAGCCAGTTTTCTATCCACCTTACTGTCCATTCATCCAACCCATACTTCCTTAGCTGGCTTGTGAGAATGTTGTGGGAGACTATATCAAAAGCCTTGCTATAGTCAATGTATACCACACATCCACTGTTCTCCTCACATCCACAGAGCTAGTCATCTCATCTTAGAAGGCAATCAGGTTGGTCAGCCACTTTTACTTCCAAAAGTAATCTCTTCTTTGACAATGGATTTCTAGCCATAGGAATTCTGTGGTATCCCCCTCCACACGTAAAATTTTGACCCTGCTTAACTCAAGGTTCTCTTTCGTAAAGTGTCACCCCCCACTGATGTGATTTACTCTACTCTATATAGTTTGTGGCCAGGGATATTGATTTTGTTCATTCCACTAGGTTTCTGAGACACCTGTTCTATCTAAATCATCACTCAATGCCAGGCATTCTAGCTCACCCATCAGTTTTTCACACTTCTGGCATTGGTATAAAAGTATTATACTTTTATACCTATACCTAGCTGCCTGCTCTTATATGCCTTCTTTGGTTGGGAGTCAGTGTGCTTTGGCTGTTCCTCCCCATGTTTTACACAAGCCTTATCACCCTCTTTCATATCCCCTGTGGGAGTATCTAGAGTGACTTTGCCTTTAGAGAAGAGGTGCTTTCATCTACATCTGCCAACTTCTGTCTAGTTTTTTGAAGGCTCTTCTACCACCTTTCTGATGCTGCATCAGCCCTTTGGCACCCCTTTCATTTAAGTGGAGTCCAGCCCTCCTCTCCCAATTCCAGAAAAATCTCTCCTGTTTCACCATCTCCTCAGTGTCTTAAGCACTGAAACTCAGAAGCTCTGCCTGTCTCCCTAGACTAGTGTGTGGTACTGGAAGCTTTTCAGATAATGTTATCATGAGGATCCTGGACCTTAGCCTCCTCCCTAGAAGCCATAGCATAAAAGCCCTGACTGAATAATGAAATTTTGTTCTCTACATCAGCAAAACAATTTCAGGGTGCTTCCCATGCTAAAGGTTTGTCTTGTGGGGTTTTTTTCCTATTTTTTTTTTCATTTGAAATTTCTCACTATTTTCTACCACTCGGAGCCCCAAAATTTAGGGTGTTTTTGTTTTGTTATTATCTCTGCTTTACTTCTGTCATCTCTTTCAGAATTATTGTATTGGGAACTATTAGCCCGCTACAGGTTTATGTCTGGACTGTCTCAACCACATTGCTGTTTTCATAACTTTTACGCTTCCATAGATTTTTATCCCACTGAGCCTAGCAGCTAAATTTGGCCTTTTTGTCATCATTCCAATGGATATAAGTACTTTTGTTTGCAAATCCCAAGCAAGGAAGTCAAAATGAATGCTACAACACACCTTCAGGAAATGTGCATAGGCACAAAGTGCATGCTTTGCAGATGCAAAACATTCTTGGTATGTTGACCATGGATAGTTATGCTGCCTAAGCAAACTCTCTCTCAATGACTATTTGAGTTTTTAAAAAAAAGGTTGTGTTGGGAGGGGAATCCTTGTTCATATATTAGATTTACCAGAAAAAAATTCAAAACCCACATATGCAGTTCTGTCTTCTTAAACCTACAGCCAAAATTAAAAACAAACCACACCCACAAGAAAAAGATGCTGGTAGGAAATGACAATTAAGTGATAGTAGATATGGGTACTAAGGAAAATCAGAGATTTAAATGCTGTGCTATTTTGGTCTTTAAAGAGAAACTTTTGCAAGGATTATACCAATTTTCAGGGAGCAAGGCAGCTAGTGTGAAATACTGTCTTTGTAGGAGGCAATGGCCCTTGTCTTAAAAAGGAAGGATAGATGAGATGACAGAAAGAATAAAAAAGCAGTTCAAGCTGTGCTCTTTTTGCTTCATGGCATGAAATACACATTTTCTTTTTCTACCTGTCACCCACTGGTACAAGGTTATCATGCTATCACAGCATGGAGACAACAACAAAATTAGACACACAATCTGTTCTCAAGAATTGAACAAGTGAACAATAAGTTTCTGCTCTCAAACACCGTATCATCCATGGTGACTTCATTTGTAGGCCAAGCTTTCTATTTAAAACCCTCACATAGTTCAATGTGCAGTAGAAACCAATTGCTGTGGGTTGACCTTTCTTATTTTTGCGCCATACTGCTGTGACATGAAGCATACCACAGCACATGAAACCAGCCTAGCTAGGATTTGCATATTGCATATGTGGCATGGCTTCATCATGTTTTAATCTGCAAAACACTTTATAAACATTTAACTATCTGCACAGCCAACACAACTGATCACAACAGAAGGAAGGACAGGGGGAATGGGCTCTCAAAATACCCTCTTCAGCCAGTGTCTTAAGCAGTGCTGACACGCTCTTGAGAACCCTTTTTCAATAGGATGGAAGTATGAGATAGTTGAGGGAAGAAAAATAAAATCTCAGTAGACTAAACCCTCAGACAAATTCTATTTATACACCTCAAAGGACATTAAATAATCTGCTGAATTAAGAACTTACTTCCTGGCAATACTGTAGAATCCCTTCTTTTGTTCCAATGCAAGTCTTGGTCCCGGAGGGGTCGGATGCCCATTTTCCATTCTGAACATTCATATGCATATTGAGCTTGCCACAGAACATGGCAACTTGAGGCTCTGCCAGCAGGCCAGCATTTCCATCAGTAGGCACCTAGGAGGAGGAGAAAAAACAAACAAAACAATATATTACTGAAACTCTCATCCAACAGTTCATCCATGTTGGCTAAACTAAATGATGAGATGGATTTGGGAGATCAAGAAAAGAGTCACTTCAGTAACTCAAAATACAAGAGATCTGATGGGGTAAATTCTTTAGCGCAGGAACTGCCAATCACCATGGACTTGTCTATGCAAGGGTACGTGTATGCCCCTGAAACACAATAGGTAACATTTTTACAGCAGCCAACCAGAACATGGAAATATTTTCATGAAAAGCATGTTTTTGTTTTTAATTGTGTTTTCTTTTAACTGGACTTTAAATGAATACGTTTCAACACTTGTGTTGACAGCGTATACTATATTCAAGTTTCGATTAGCATACAAGATTTACAGTAATACCTCGGTTAATGAAGTAGATGCATTCCATGACATCACTTCATTATCAGAAACTTCGTTATCAGAGGTAGAAATAACATAGGAGGCATAGGGATGTGTTCCAGGATTTCAGAGAAAGCGGGGTAGAGTAGGAAAATATCATTAAATATTCAAAGGTAAGTGATAAACACACAAAGATACCCAGCTGCCAGGGCTATGGACCCAGGTCTGCAGCTTGCTGCCCCCGCACTGCAGGCTCGGGTGGGACAGCTCCCCACCACTACACGCACTCCTGGGGGGCAGAGGTGACTTGCACCCCCCATATCTGTACGCAGGGCAGGCACAGGCTGTGGGCTCAGGCTCCTGCCCTGTTTTCCTCCCCCGGGGCTTTTGCAACTTGGTGGGCACAACATAGAGCAGCAGGAAGCAGCGGAGCTGTGCGGGGATCTCCTCGCCTCTGTGAGCTCCGTGCTGCCCTGGTGATGCGCCTCCTGCACGTGCTGCTGCTTTGAGGAACACAACCCTGCACTGCTGCTCTCACTGCAGCCCCATGCTCAAGAGACACATTGCCAGGGCAGTGCGGAGCTCGCAGGAGCAAGCAGCTTCTCCATGTGGCTCAGCTGCTCAGTACCAAATCATTAATGAAGATATTAAACAACACAAAATTCAGGACAGACCCCTAGGGAATCCCTCTAAGTGGGTAACTGGGAGGAGGTATTAAGCCACTTACGACAACTGGTTGGGTTGTCATGCTCAACTAGTAATGTATCTACCTTACAATACTAGGGGGTGTACTGATACAGATTTTATTGGGCCGATACCAATGGCCGATTTTTAAGAAGCCATATTGGCTGATACTGGTCCTATTCCGATATGCAGCCAGGCAGCTTGGAGACCAGTGTTGGGCTGGTAAGTCTGGTGTGGGGGAAGGTGTGGGGGGAGGTGAGATTGAGGCCTCCATGGTGAGGTGGGGGAGTGGGGCTGGGGCAGGCAATGCCCAGCCATGGCAGGGCACAGGACGGAGCCACAAGTGGCTTGTCTGGGGGGGGGGAAGAGGGTGGATCCTGCCTCTGCACACACCCTGGGAAGACATGGGGGTGTGAGCCCCCGGATCTGCATGCAGGGCAGGGAGGAGCAGGCTGCTGCTGAGGGCTGGGACCAGGGCAGCACCGGGCTCTTCCAGGGGGCTGGGCTGGGCAGCAGTGGCACTGGGAAGGGGCTACGGGGGGTGGGGGGGAGGCAGTATCAGCCACCCCAAAATTTGCCGTAGCACCCCTGTAGACCCCCTCCCAGCACTGCCACCATGCGCTCCAAGTGCAGCACAGCCCAGCCCAGCCCCCCCACTGGGCTCAGGCTGGTGCTGCCCCCGGTCCAGGCCCCAACCAGGAAGAGCTTGGCAGAGCCCATGGCAACAGCCCACCCTGCCAGGCACGCAGATCTGGGGTCACATGCCCCTCACACCCTCCCGGGATGCATGCAGCCACCCCCGCCTCCCTGGATGAGCTGCTCGTAGCTTCTTCCCATGCCCCTCCCTGGCTGAGCAGTGCCTGCCCCTGCCCTACTCCCTCCCTCACCGCAGGGGCCTCAATCTGCCCTCCCATGCCCCTTCCCTCCCCATACCCTTCCTCCCACAACAGACTTACCAGCCTGATACTAGTCTCCAAGTCACCAGGCTACACTCTTGGCCCTGTGCATGCTGCAGCTGCACACATGTACGGGGCATTTAATCAGCCATATCAGGCAAAAAAAGCCTTTTTCCAATACTGTTAGTTTTCCCCCATATCAGTGCCGATCCAATATGAGAATGATGTATCGGTGCACCTCTATACAATACTTTCACCTAATCCAAATTGTCTTAGCTTATTAATAAGAATGTTGAGGGTAAGTGTAAAAAACCTTGCTGACATCAAGGTATACATATCCACTGCTCTCCTCCAATCCATAGAGCAGGTCACCTTATTGAAAGGAAAATCTAATTGGTCAGACATGACTTACTCTTAGTGAATCTATGCTGACTGTTCCTGATCAACTTTGTTCTCTAGGTGCTTCACAACAGATTCCTTGAATCCAGAATTTGTCCATATATTCAGGTCACACTGACTGGTTTTCTACATCTCAATTAGTGGTTGATATTTAAAAAGTTGTTAGGTGGTTGAGAGTACACTAAAAATGAAAATTGTGGCTCACCGTTGTGGCTCTTTCTGCTAGCATGTTAAAATACATCTTATCCCCAGCTATATTGAAAAGGGTTAATATGTGATAGCCAACTGTGTTAGCCAAAATGCTTTAAAAATACACTAGCTATCCAGCTCTAGACAGGTCCTATGCATCTGTTGGCAGAGTGGTTAATGCCATGCCCACACCTGGCAAAGGCACTGAGGAGCTAGGGTACCAATGATTAACAATTGATACCAACTCGACTTCATACTGTATAATTATGAATAAATTGCAGGTGATTGTGACCACGGAGAATCTATTGGATTGCTGTATACAGTAAAAACACACTCTACAACCTGAAATATTAAACCTGAATGGTATGGCAGAACTAAAGACAGTTGGTGGTGACTTATTTAGAAATTTGCAATTAAAAACTGTTTTCCTATAGCTAGTTATACAATAATACCTTAGATAAACAGATGTTTATGGCAAACTTTAAATATTGGAATGATTGCATTTTGCCATTTATATATGCACCTTTCATCTAGATCTCTTAAGAACCGCCAGGAATTCATAAGTGTTTAATAGTGCTCGTTTTCAGAGACCTCACATGCCCTACAAACACCCTTTTGTGTGAAACATGTACTTTTAAAAGGCTCAATATCAGTCCTCTTCACAGCTAACATCAACCTCAGGTTGCTGAATGTGCAACAAAGCCATGTAACAGTAAATGAATCAGTTGTCTGAAATGAGAGAATCAGCAGGTACACTAACCGCAAGGTTGTGAAGTAAAAGCAAGGTCTGGCAAGACTACAATAGAAAATATGTCCAACATGAGTCAGAATATTTGCTTCCAGAGGGAGTAGAAATGGGCCATGCTGTGGAGCATGTAGAACAACACGGTTAAGTTTCTGGTAAAAATAATTAACCAGACACCAGAGTGAGAGCCAATATGGAAAAGGGTTCTTGATCTGAGATGGTTTGGATAGGATGATCCTGCCTCAGGCAGTGGGTTGGACTACATGAGGTCCCTTCCAGCCCTACTTTTCTAAGAAAAACACAACAGGGACAGTACCAGAGCAAGAAGCTTAATATAACTTCGCACAGTCTCTCTCCAAGTCATACCAGCCCCTTTCACTACTGTGGACATTATTTTTTCCTTATTATTATAATCTGCCCTCACACTCAGAGACTGACCTGTGCCCAAGGATACTGCACAGACTACTTACATTTTTCAAAAACATACATACCCAAATGTTCTCATTTTTTTCTTCCATGTAAAAAGATGACTTCTACATACATTATGGTTGATATTCCTTTCCTTCCTACTCCATACCAAAATTGGTTCCTATGAAAACACGTGGATGTAATCTTTTCCTTCCCACTTCTGGGCTGCTACAACAGAGAGCTCTTTGGAACCAACTTCCATTCAAAAATGAAAAGAGTTCTCCAAGCTCTTGCCCGTCACATCCCTATACAAATCTCCTTTACCCTTTGAAAGTATGCTTTTCATAAGTCTATCCAAATGCAAGCAGGGAAATTCTACAGGACTTATTCCAAAGGCCCTCAAAATGTACTAAATAATATCCTAGCAGCACAAATTCCATGTCTTCTATTGCAAGTCTCTGTTTCTAGTAGAAATGTGCTACCTCCAAAGGCTTCCCGAGATGACGCAAATTTCACAGATATGAAACTGAAAACATTTGAGTATAACATTGTAGTCTTTACAAAAAATACTAACCATAAAATGTTATGGTTAGTATACCATAACCAAATGTTATGGTTAGTATACCATAACCAAATGTGTAACTACTACATTTCTGGTTTTGTCAAAAATATGACACGTCCTCTCCTGATGCACATTACAAAACAGCAACAACAAAAAAGTCTATGCATTAAAGAAATCTCTGAACAAAAAGTTGATTGAGAAGATCAGGAGTCCATAAATGAAGTCCATGCATCAAGCCAAATATGCAGTGACTTTCATCTTTACTAAAATTGATGATGAAAGGAAGTTGTATTAAATCCCCAAGAAGAAAAAACTAAAAATATAGCCTTTGTGTATTTGAAGGATCAGTTTACACAGGTTCCCTCTTTACAGGAAGAGAACTACAACATGCTCTCCTATGTTCTTTCAAACATTACAATTCATGAGCAAGGTATAATTTTACTAATCAAGTCAACCTTAGTAAGAGGTAACCCAAGTTAGGTGAGAATTCTCTAACTCTCCATTGGCTAGTGATGGCTAGTGAATTTTAAATAGAAAATTTATCTGTAAGTTGCATTTCCAACTCCAACTCCTTTCACAGAAGGTGGAAGGGAGATGAGGGGTACGGTGAGGGGAGGAAGAGGAGGAATCCTCAGTGTATCTGCTTAGGTCTTCAGTTTCATTTTAATAAAAAGACCATGTTGAGTTAACTTATCTAAGATACTATAAACAGAAGACAAGCAGTTTG